AAATAATGAAAAAAAAAAAAAAGTCAAATTTAGTTTTTTACATTAACTACTGTAGCAAGAGAAGAATTATCAGCTTTTTTTTTTTCTGCTCTTGACCTTAAAATATAATTAAATGTAACTGTGATGACCAGGCGTCTGAGTGACTTTTCCCCAGTGTCTATTTTTAACAAATGCAGCTCATCGTCCTTCATATTTTATAAAGGTTTTGCTGGTTTTATCAAAAGACTTCAGTATAATTCTTCGGAAGTGCTTTCCCAGCCTTGGTTCAGAGGGACAGGGTGGAAAATTAGCCTTTTTGTGATGTCAAAACACTGAGTCCTGAGAGAGAGAGTAATGAGTCTTAGCAACTATAGTCATTCTGTTTATATGGTTTATTGTTTTTAGGCCTTTGAAAGAGATACTTCCTGTCTGCTGCCTGACCAGCAGACAAATATGTCCATTTGCTCTGAGAAGTTGTTGTAGTCTCTGGTAGCGGGGGAGTCAGAATAGGAGTATTTATGTGCTAGTCATCCATTCAGCCTCTGTTCCCTTAAACCTCCTGAGAATCAGAGACTTCACACAACTCGGCATCCTCGACCACAACATTCGCAATGGTGATGACAAACAGATGCGTCTTAAGGACACAAAGTTGTGTTTGGATAGTGATGGATGTAAGTAACCCAGCTGATACTCTTATCTCCCTGACCTTGCGTACATGCTCATTCATCAGTCTCAAGTGAGGTCGGAACTTTTCCTTTTCACGGAATCAAAGACGAAGCCTAAAAGACTCGAGCAGAGCAATAAATCAGTGTGACATTGCAGTGCTGCTCGGAGTCCACTTTACAGTACCAGCCTCTAAATTGCCATATTAATCATATCATAAATCTTAAGCATTAGAATATATTTGTTAAGGATCATTAGAAATGAGACATTTGTGGGGTGCAGGCTGAGCGAAACCAGAACCTTTTATACATGACATTGGTAGTAGCAACATGATGAAGTATGTACCTAACATATTGGTGTAAAGTCTGGGTCATGCTGAGCTGCCATAACCGTAGAAGGGCAGTGACCAACACCAGTGACTTTAACTCCTGGAATGTTTGGCTTTGTAGATGGATCTGCATGTAGGGGGTCAATTATCCCTACTGGATATTTCTTCACATCTTTACTGCTATGCTGCTCGGGTTCCTCGTAAAAGTACAATTGCTTCATTGGACGGTCACAGCACACATGCGATGGCAGGGAATTAGGTACAGTAAAGCCGTCAGTCAGAGTTAGCGTTGTTGCCAAATGACGTATGGCACCAACGAAGGGGGATTTTATGGGAGTTTGTTTGTTCATGTCCATATCAACAAATGGCAAGATGTGGCCTATAAATGTCCTCACTTGCTAAACGATAATTGACTGTAGATATACTCACTCCACACAATTCAAGGCAAGATAAGGACATTTCATAAGGAAAGCAGTCTACTTGAGGTTAACAATACATATTGAAACTGACTTCTTGTTTTTAAACTTGGATAGTGTAATAAAATTACATAATAACCCAACTGTACTTGGAAGCAATTGTGAAAAATAAACGGCTGGACATTTATTTCCGTTTCACAAGTTTTTTTTCCCCCATATAACAGTAGTTTCACACCAGAATCACCATTCTCATCTGCGTGACAAATGAAAGGTATATTTGGATAGTGCTGCTTAATTTTTCCCTCGTAGACTTTTCCTAATTTCTAATCTAGCTGCTTGATAACAGAATTATTGCCTTTAGTTAAATTAGATGTACAAATGAAAATAACTGAACAAATATTGTTTTGGTTTGATGTAGCAAAGCTGTTGATGCTAATAATGTTTGTTCACCAAATACTGTAAGTTGTGCAATCATAAAATCAGGGTCAATGAGAGATTCATTCTGTCTCAGCATCATGTCTTTGTGCTTGAGTCCGGCCTGAGGACTTTGTCTACATCACAAGTGATGTTGTCTTTTTTGCTAGACAAAGAGAAAAAACCCTTTGGTCTGACAGATCCAGCCTTGATGACGTTCTCTAAACTTTACTCTGCCTCCTCATCCTTCACTTCTTACATGTACTCTTCCTCCTCTCCTTCTCAGATTGTTTCCATCTGTTATTCGTATCATCATTCAGTCACCTGTGTCACTTGTGCACTCTGAACTAGCTCATATTATGTGCAGTTGGTTTGATCACATCATTAGAAACAAGTGTGAACACTTTTGAATCGTTGTCTGTAAACGATGACAACTGTGCTTCACTTACGAGCTGCTTTTAACTTTTAGCTTTATTCGACAAATTTGTTTAAGCTAGTGAGAATTTGGTTCAGAGATTGGGGTTTAGCGTTTTAGCAATTCAGAAAAACTGTAATGGTAGTCAATACGCCAAAAAAACGGCACTACACTTTTACTATAATAAATTCATGGTAAATTTTCGTAAAGGCTGCAGTTCCAGCTGACATAAACACAAGTGACAGTTAAACACCAACTTTTAGTTCTTTTTTGCACAGTTCCTTGCACAAAACGTCTCAGGTTACTTATGTAACCATGGTTCCCTGAGTAGGGAACGAGACACTGCGTCCTCTAGGGGTCGCTATGGGGAAATGCCTCGTCGTGACCCGTGTCTGAAGCATACATTGAAAAAACACCAACAACACTATTAAAATACGCTCGCAATGAAACATTGCCCCCTCAAGGACATCGCATGCTTGCTCTTTGCCCAAACAAACAACGCAGAGATCGTGTGTGTCATCAGGTATCAAATAACGACGACGCGGATGCACACACCCTCTAAACGCTTTGCTAGTGCTCGCCATAACGATAGGAATATAGATCGCTCTTACCACGGAAATGCACGCTTCAAACAAAACGGTCAGTGAAGACGAAGAAGAGAATGACATGTTCTCCCGGCGCCTATTTATACTATATTCGCACCGGTAGTGACGTCACGGGCTGTCGCCGGCCAACGTGTTGTTGGTGTTTTTTCAATGTATGCTTCAGACACGGGTCACGACGAGGCGTTTCCCCATAGCGACCCCTAGAGGACGCAGTTCGAAGTTCCCTTGAATGGGAACTGTTGTGACCCTAGAACACTTTTACCATAGTGCATGTTTTGTAAACTAATATATTTTGAAAATTGCATTGCATAACCAACTCCATATGTATGGCTTTTCTGAAGTAGTAAACTTGCTCGGTAGCTCACCTTGTACAGTGTTGACCTGTGATGTGGAGCATTCAGGTACAAGTCCTGTAAGAGCTCAAAGAGCTTTAACCTTTTAGCTCCACTCACTGGATATTTCATTTCCAAACTGCCACAATACTGACAGCAACCAACATAATAAAATGTAGCCAGATTCACATTAATCTGTTTCAAATAAAACTGAACGCACATTTAGCACCACTTACTGGACATTTCACTGTGGCAGCATGCAAAAAACAATGTCACTTTGCAGAAATGTCGCCACCAGGACAATTTCCTAATACGCCTGGGTTGGTAACTTTTGACCAGTGTTTCTTGCTAATTCATCCATGACTAGCTGAACAGATCCAAACTGCTGTTAACTGTTGCTGCTGTTAGTTCTGTAACATAAGCTGTTATGTTGTTTGTAGCATATCACAGATGGTGAACTGTTACATACTAATTAAACTGAAGGCCATTTGACATAGTAATGCTAATCATTCACAAAATCAGTGTGCCATATGTCTCCTGCAGTCCATGGTTAACACAGTTTTGAGTAAAGTTTTTACGAATGGGATGTTGAAATAAGTATTTGCTCAGCCTATAACATCAACATAATTTACATTTACTAGTTTAGTCACATTAACTCGGACCTTCGGTTCTGTGTGTGTTGGGTATCTTCCAAATTGGCCAGACTGCAAAGGGTAACAGCGGCACAAAATAGCAGGAGATTAAATTAACAATTCGTTTTCTGTGATTTTGGGCTAAAATAAAATCCTCCAAACCTCGCCTCCAAATCTTATGATTTTAGGACTGGAAATTTCAGCAAAATAGTATGTTGGCATAAAAAAATAAAATAAAATAAATCTTCCTCAAGGCTGGCAAAGTGTACAGCACTTCAGAGATAAATAGTTTGAGATTTAGTTCCACTCCAGTGCTCATGCAACCCATTTAATTGTAAATCTAGTATGTCATCTGACACCTAGTAAAGTTAATGTGCCAACAGAAAAGACAAACCGTTTCATACTTCATTAAACCATCCCCTGCAAACGATGTGTAGAATGGGTTGCTGTAAAAGGGCCACTGCATATTACAAGGCCCGTTTAGATCACAGTACACTGTCTGATATAATATAGTCTTAGCTCATCAATGCCATGGAAAGGAAGACAAGAGTATGAATAATCAATAACAGCTGATGTTTAACCTACAATGCCTTTCCTGTGTCTTCAGGAGGAGTATTCCCTCAGGACTTCTCCATCCTTATGACTATCAAACCAAAGGCGGGAGTACAGTCCTTCCTTTTGTCTGTATACAACGAGCAGGGCATCCAGCAGCTGGGAGTGGAGGTGGGCCGTGCGCCGGTCTTCCTGTATGAGGATCAGCATGGGAAGCCCGCTCCTGAGGATTACCCCCTTTTCCGTGCCATTAACCTTGCAGATGGAAAGCAAGTTGACTCTTTATTTGTATATTTTTGATTTGTGTGAAGGTTTTTGGTCTAAACAGTTGAAACTTTTTTCTTCAGAGTAGTACAGTATAATACATCAATTTCAGAAGTAATCTTTTTTTTTTAATGGGCCATACCATCTTTTTTGTGTTTCAAACAAGCTGTAGTACAGTTTTCATCAACTGGCCGTTGAATGTGTTTGAATTGGTTATACAATTTGCTTATGAATTTTTCCTAGTGGCTAGTTTAGTCCACTGTGTTTATTATTGGTACTATTTGCCATCAGCTTACTCATTTATTTATCTATATAGATATAATTAAAGTAGGAAAACTATGAATACGCAGTCATATGTAACTAATTTAGCAAAGCAAACATTTACTTTAAAAGAAACAAGAATGGCTGTAAGTTTCTGTGCTTTTGATTAGCCACATTGAGGTTTACATGCAATAAAACAATGGTGTATTCTCACAATTCATGTAATGTAAACCTTTTTTTTTCAATTTGAGAAAACATGGTATTAAACAAAAAACAGCTTGTGAAATATTTATAATTGAGTCAATATGAGAGGCGATGCTTAGTAAAATGCCTTTTTAAATGCACATGGAGAGAATGCTGTTTGTCTTTTCCGTTTAAATGATTTTATTTAGGAACATCCTGTACTAATACAAACCTCCCTCAATGGCGGGCAGATGTTTTTCTCACTGTATAAAGAACCGAACATGCGTTTTGGTTATGCAAGGGAAAGTAAACATATATCATTCTACAAACTGAGCAATCACAAACTTCATGGTTCTTCTTTGTTGTCTTTCCCACTCAATTTCCTCCCAACCGATAGGTGGCACCGTGTGGCTATTAGCATCGAAAAGAAGACCGTCACAATGATTGTGGACTGTAAGAAGAAGATTTCTAAACCACTAAGCAGAAGTGACCACACAATCATTAACACCGATGGCATCACAGTCTTTGGGACCAGAATCCTGGACGAGGAAGTTTTTGAGGCAAGCAAAAACCCTGGTGGATACAGTCCATTCTTGTTATGATTTGTGTTGGCAGTCCAATGATACACTCTCAGAAAAAAGAAAAAAAGGTACCACAGCTGTCACTTGTGTGATACCATTTCAAAAGTTACACATTTGTACATTATTTACCCTTAAAGGGTGCATGTTAATACCAAATGTGTACTTATTAGTATCTTTTGAAAGTACCACCCCAATGACAGTTTTTGTTTTTTTTTCTGTGAGAGAAGGAACTATTTAGCCACTTAAATTTGGCTTACTTACATTTGGCCACAATGAATACTCACACTGTTGTAGTGTGTGTCGAATCCGTATGAATGATGCTAAGCAGGAAATTGGCAAATGATTTGATTTACTGCTCAGTCAAATAATGTTTGTCAAGAGCCTTTCATTTCACTTTCAAATGACGGCATGTCAGTGGGTTTTATTTGCCCATAAATCACGAAAAGATGCTGATGACTTTTCAATACAGAGTTTTTGAACAAAAGAGCATTGCAGCCAATATATTTACAATTAAACTACTATACATATTTGGCACATTTTATCATATATGGAAGGCTGTTGATTCCAGTGCGAATGGCTTATAAACATGGTGACATGCTTTGACTTTTAAGGAAAAAAGGCTAGTTGTGGTTGATTGCTTTTAAATGAACCATTTTTATTCCCCATAGGAAAAGAAAAGGACACATTGAGGCCAAATTTATACTTGCAACAAAAAAGCAACTTAATTCTCCTGAGCTATAAAAGAGCAGTAGTATAAACATCCACATAAGATACACCTCAGTGGAAGAACAGTAATGTAACCCACATACTAAGCAAAGTTTACTAAAGCTTGAAGTATTCTATTCACATTTCTCTTTGCTGTACGAAGCAACGCAGCAATCCTGTGTAATTCTGCATGCCCGATTGCGAGACAATATCTGCAGAGTCTGTCTTTGATGTGAGCTGAAGGAATGTTGTCTAATAAGAACAGCATGCTAAATTTTCGCTTCAGGTTAGAGATGTTGTACCGCACAGGAATCTTTTGAAATTCTGATCCTATTTCTTCCTCTTCCCTGCTAGCCCCAGTGTTAGTCAGAGAGTTGATGAGCCTGCAAAATATACAGCCTGAGAGGTAAATCTGCCATAGTTAATGGGCTCATTTTCAGCAATTGCTTAGCATCTCATCTCTCAATTCTTCCATCCACTGTACGATTGCTCATAATGTTGGAAACTATGTCAAATATTGCACAGATGTTTCAGTCAAGAGAGTTGCTTTTCATGCATTGTGTGATTATGATGAAAACGTTGAACTGTCAAAAGTTTTGCTAATAGGTTTTTAGCTATGTGAAATGAACTTCTTGTGGTTTTTGCTTTGTTTTTACCTCAAACGTAAAATGCAATTTTGGGTATATTGGCGTTTGTGTAAAACAAAATATAAATGAATGCATATTTGTGTATATGCATTGCATGTAGGCTAAATCGAAGAAATATAGCATTAGTAAGGAAGGAATATTACTCCCAGGTCCCTCAAACACCTGTATGTGTTCTTTGGAAATGACTTTTGTGGCTTTTTAGTTTATGTTGTAACCTTTCCTCTAGATGGAGAGAGTATTTGCAGATGCTTATGCTGAATAACATTTAAGTTGGGTTTGTTTGTATATGTGTGTGTTTTGGAAGAGAGCGTAAGGTTACAACCTACACACCAGGCAGCCACACAAGAAATATATTCAAAATATATTCATATTACACAGCCCAGGGAATGAATTCTGATGACTTCTGTGATAATGGCATGAGAAAATCGCAGCATTGGACTGGCAAGCGTGATTTCAGCAAATTGACACACTTAAGAGAGAATATATAAACTATATAGTAACCTTCTCTTCTAAGTGAAGGTTACAATATAGTCTCTCTCTCTCTCTCTCTCTTTATATATATATATATAAATAAATAATACTGTAGAGTATATAAAGCATACCAGGGTTAGTTTGTAGAGAGTACTTTTCTCTCAGGGTGAGTTAATTTTTGAAAGTTTCATGTTACAAACTTAGCTGCAACTGAACATTTCCACTGATATTGTCCAGGAAAAATAGCCCCAATAACAGGCCAAGTTTTCACACAGTGGAAACTGTCATATTTTTTTTCAGCCAAATTTTAATTGTTTAATTGAAAATGATCATGGAACATGGAAAACCAAAAATTAAAAAAAGTAAAGAACAACATTATGAAACCACTGTTAATAGTAAGGCAACTAATAAACTGAATAAATATATCACAAAACAATTCACAACTTGGTTTAAGAAATGTGTGACAACTTACCCCGACTTGACATTTAAGAAAATTCCCTTGTCTTGAGAACACAGGTCAACTTTTCTTCTTTAACGTATACCTTTAGCCTATATTTGACTTTTGTCTGAATTCATGTCAATGTGGTTAACATATTCTCAGATGTTAAGTTTTAAAAAATTTTCTCTAAACTATTCAGATATCATTTTATATGTGCACGTTATATGCACATTCATGTTGTTTTAACAAAGTTCTTTGCAAGGACTGTTTGTGAATTGGGAAACATATCTTGTCACTCTTGGCCAAGGAAGTATCCAGGCTTAGCCAGCCCTGTGAGATATGGCATGGATTTAAGGATCTCTGGCCAGAAGTACAGCATGTCATAAGGAATCCAAATTAGTGTTCATTCGAGAACATGTGTTTGACATTGAGTGGATGGAAAAATTAAGCTGAATAACTCTGATCAAGAGCAGAACATTTGATTTTCAGATTATGACTGTGTGTGTCATCTTTGCGATTTTTAAGAAGTGTGATCATCTTGTTGTTGAAATGAATGTCTTTTTGTCACAGAATAACACATAGGTGGAGTTTTTTCCCCCATTAATTTGTTCATAACATCCTTGAACCTTTTAGTGTCTCTTTCTGCAGGTTACATTGTTACATGTGGTGGTGAAAAATTACTGTCTTTATGAGTGAATCAATGAATCAATCATTCATAAAAAAAAACAAAAAAAAAAACAGATTAATTCCAAAACTAAACACCAGCACTGATGTGTGGTTCAAAGAAGCCACGATTTCTAGTTTGGCTTTGTTTGGAACTATTTTCATTGAAAGTAATTGGCAATTATGTGTCTAAAATGTAAATTACATAATAGCTTCTTGTTTATTGAACCATTTTAAAAAAGAGGTCCCTGTCTGAAACACTTGTGTATAGTTGCTACTGATCTTTGTACTTGTGCACATTTGTAGTGACACCGATGAATAAACAGTTTGTAGGCTGATCGTTCAAGAAACCTTGACAACAGTCATTATTTTTGCAATTCTGTTTCGCAACACTAGTGGAGCAGATACACATTTCAGTTGCAAGCAAATGTAAAACCACATTTTTTTGTGAGATAGCTGTGTTTGTCATTGGAGATGAGCTACTAGGTCTGAACTAGCAGCATACCTCATGTTGGAGCATCTGTGTTTCTAGCCTTTGCAGATTGCTTAAGCAGGTGTGAACCTGGAACTGCAACTGAGGGGAAAATATGATCAGAGTGTGCTATGACTTGGCCGAGATAGCTGTTTAAGAGATTGTGTTCAGCTTGGTGTTTTGTGACGAAAATTTGAATAGGTTGTGACTTGAAATCACCTTTTGTGCACTTCTCTGTAGGGCTGCACGATTAATTGAATGCGATTGTCATGCGCAATTTGTTAGTAATGCCGGTTCTGTAATCAGCAGGAAATCATCATCACGTGCTTTCAGATGGAGCAGAATTTACTACACAGAGCCGTAGTTCTGCCTGTGTGAAGATGCTTTAATCACTTTTTGTGTTCAATGTGAAAAACAAATCAGCATGCATGTTAAGAAGCTATAGTTAAAAGAGTTTTTTATAATCAGTTAATGCTATGCTAAGCTAATAGCTTGAAACTAATGAAATTCATTACTACCATCACTTTTAGCTTTGGTAAAATAATGTGATATGCAATTAAAAATACATTAATATTTTTATTTTTAAGAGTACACTGAAAAACAAATTGGTGTAGAATTTGCTTTCCCAATTTCCCAATTGCTAATAAATTGAACAAATAAACTGAAAGAAACTGCAAGTAACATTGAATCAAACATGACATTTTAAAGTAGAAAGACTGAAAAAAAGTTGTCTTGCAATAATCTTTCTTTCATTTAAAACAAACAAAAAAAAAATCATTGTTCACAGTGTAATTTGCCTCACTTTTGAACAGAGCATCTTTTTTAAGTTATCCTGTGTTTAATTGTTTAACTGTTGTATAACTGGACTGGACTTCTCAGAAAAAAAGAAAGCTGTCAATGAGGTGGTACCTTTTCAAAAGGTGCACCTTTGTACCTAAAGGCTCTACATTGGTACCTTAAAGGTATGTATTTTTACCTAAAGTGTACATATTAGTCCCTAAAAGGTACCACCCCAGTGACAGCTTTTGTACCTTTTGTACCTGTTCTTTCTAAGAGTGTACTGTCGTCAGACCACCTGTGGACATACTGGTCACATACAGTGGGTACGGAAAGTATTCAGACCCCCTTAAATGTTTCACTCTTTGTTATATTGCAGCCATTTGCTAAAATCATTTAAGTTCATTTTTTTTCCTCATTAATGTACACACAGCACCCCATATTGACAGAAAAACACAGAATTGTTGACATTTTTGCAGATTTATTAAAAAAAGAAAAACTGAAATATCACAAGTCCTAAGTATTCAGACCCTTTGCTCAATATTTAGTAGAAGCACCCTTTTGATCCAATACAGCCATGAGTCTTTTTGGGAAAGATCCAACAAGTTTTTCACACGCAAAAACAAAAGTGTAGCGTTTATAATTTTGTTCAGTGTATATATGCTGTTACACATTTGGCCTTTACTATCTCCCTCTTTTTTTAAATCTCTGGATCCTCCTCTCCCCGACTGGCCTCCGCCTGTGTCCTGCTCACTGCTGGGAAACATATTTTACTGTTTAACGGCTCCCAGTAGAGTGATAAGGT